GGTCAGAATCGTACATTCAACTCTGCTTTCAACAGATATTTATTATGAATATGGAAAGGGTTATGTCGGATTATTGATGTTCAGTCAATATGTTTTCAAAATTATCGGAAATTGTTTTAAGCCCAATAGCATATAGACAGTCCTTCAATAGTTGCGCTGAGTATATTTCATGGAGTCATAGCAGTGGAGACTGGGCCCAAAGGTGAGTTATGTCATGTTCTTGTTCTGGAGTATAAGACAACATTACAACTGCACGAGAAGTGATTTGGTTTGGGTCATGTCCAAGGCAGGACGTCTTAAAAGGGCAACTGGCGAGGGAGAAACGGGAAGAGTTCCAAGAGGAAGGTTTCAGACCAGGGAAAGCTGCCCTGGTCCTTTCTAAGGTATTCAAAGAATGAAAAAGAAACTGTTTACACTTCAGAAGTGACTGTAAAATAGGCAAAGAGGTTTATATCAGAAAAGCATTTTTGGACGTCATCTTGTATTGGAAATGAGGTCGCCTCGGCCGTGCATCACCAATGATTATGGTCATATATGATGTTTCCAGTAACTCTGTCGTTCATTGATATGCCTTGTCACCATGCTTTACGCCTTCCTCAGCAATACTCCAGCTTTATTATGGAGACCTGTAAATATTCAAGTCCAGCTTGGTATTATTATCAACGTCCTGTTAACCTTATTCATTATCAACGTCCTGTTAACCTTATTCACAGACGGCCAATTTGAGGAAATTGCTGTTCACGAGCAGCCACCAACTATTACAATATTCCGATTCGAGTACATACATGCATTGTTTTTATAAATGAAGTTATACCCAGTCATATTAATATATTTTAGTATTATAGCATTACAACGATTTCAAAGTTTTTAAGTATTTCTGCAAAGTTTTATTTTAACATTCTAAAGCAGACAAAACCATTTTCATATCCAATAGAAATCTCTGCATAACGTCGAGTCGAGTGTACTATTCAGACTATATCATGAGCTTGTGTATAGGATTGACTATCAAAAGTAATGATACCAGGTGTTCGACAAAAGGTGAGCGTATTCTGCCCAAACGGTGGCACCCGTCACGAACACATGCACATGCGAGTCATATGTTCACCTGAAAAAACTCGGGAACGAAATAGGGAATTGGATCGGACATTATTTTTGTCACTGATGCGTCATATTTGGAAATGTCCACATGTCTATGCGGTTGCCTACTTCTTGCCTCAATGTCTTACCCCAAAACGTTATGTAAATGTTATCAATGAGGAAGTCCAGCATTTCACATCGTCTTCTCAGTAAACTTCAGATGGCATTTGCTTTCATTTTCCACAAATTGTCCTGAACCTCTTAATGAGAAACGTAACTGTATCTTAGTTCATCACGTCTTGTAAGAAAGGCCCCATGGATCAAGGAATGAAGTTTTCCCTTAAGTTTGTCATGTGGGATAGTGGTACACAAAGTTGAAAAATCAAATGTTTTGACGGAATAGAACTTTGTTCTTTTCTGAGATCGCCAAAAGTCAGGCAAATCCTTTGAGTATTTGAGAATCCACATGGTACTAATTCCACTTGTCTCAAATACGTTCTGTTAATATAAAGAAAGTCTTTCCTTAATTGTATTTAGGATTATGGTTAGTCTTTGAGAAAGGGATTTTGTGGTACATTTGATGGACCCAGTAATATATCTCTCTTTTTACGGATTATTATGGAGCTATGGAATCGAGTACAAAATAGGAATGGACATGTCTTAAGGATTTAGAGTTAAGTTGACAGTACTGATGCATGGTTTTGGCAGATTTCTTGTCATGTCATGTCACATCATGTGACACACTGCCAAAGAAAAAAATCAACAGGTTCCTCTTCTCTTCTGGCCCATTTTGGGGGAATATTCTTCGACAGAATCCATAATGATTTTAAATTGTGTAGGAGGTTGTTCACTGTATTTGAATAACTGACGAAGGTTGTTATTGTCAATAATAGCGAAATCACCTCTGATTGTATGACCTACAGGTTTTTAGCAGTATGATGACTCTTGGCAAGCCACAAGTAATGACATTCTTATCACGAGCATTAAAGAATGACTCAAAGACGCTGCAATTCACAAATCCTGATGAATAGCTATATTGTATTCATAAAAGCTATCAAATAAGCAATTAAGTCTTTGAACTAATCTCAAAAATCACCGTCTGGTCACGGACCATTTCCTTGAACATAAATATCTACATAGATATCAAAATTATGTTTCAATTTGAAATGCTTTGTTGAACTTACAAACTCGGCTACTTTAGCTACAGAGTTATTGTATTGTACTCAATCTCTAAATTATCACTTAACCTTCTACATACTTCAGAATTGACCTTCACTTTGTGTGAGTTCATTGGAGTATGAACCTTCATAGAGTGAAGGCCAAACAGTATGAACCATCTGAGTTTGCGTCCAATGGATATATTGTGTAAACTTCAAAATTATTTCAACTTGCAAGTGCTACGTCAGGGTGAAACACTGATTCACCCTAACGTAAGTGTGTTTGTTGCTCAGCTAATATAAAGGACCCAAAACGTGTCTGGTGGCACCCACAACAACAATGAATCATTTTACGTCCTGCAATCCAGTAGTGTCGGTTTTAGTCAGTTTCTTTTAGTTTGTAAAGGTGGTCCCTTTTCATCATCTTTTCGCCGTGCTTCAAATATAGCGTTTACAAGTTCCCTGAAGAACCACTGATAGCCGTCAACACTCACAAACTCTTATTAAAGATCACTTTAGATGGACTGCCTTTATCTATTTGTTATGAACATTTTACAAATCATGTTTCTTCTTCATAACTAATTTCGAATAATTCAATATGTACAAATCAATACTAAAATCTATTTTCAAAGATATACTTTCACACAAATAAATCTCATAGATTTGATAGTCCAAAACTATTTTAGCAGCTTCAAATACAAATCCAAATGTGACGCAAACCAAACTGATCCCAACCACTGACTCTGTGATCATGAGGTCGTCGTACCGGTTCCTGGAAACTTTATTTACTAAGAACGAAAACTGAAACAGACTGACAAAGAACAACAACAACACATGTATGTGAGATGTAAACATGGGTCAAGACTTTCATCAAGTTCATTCGAATTTTATTAAAGATTTAAATTGTCTTTGATGTTTCATTCTATTTCTGCTTGAAAGTTTCAATCAGCGTCATAAGATTCATACACATATTATATTCTTAATTTATCCTCCTTTTAACATCACAATACTATGATCAAAATATTATTTGTTTCTGAGAAAGCAACTCCCACTACTTTCAAGGCCTAATGAATCCTCCCGTGAAGATTCCGGGGTAGAATAGGTCTTCAGCAACCCATGCTTGCCGTAAAAGGTGACAATGCTTGTCGTAAAAGGCGACTAACGGGATCGGGTGGTCAGGCTCGCTGACTTGGTTGATACATGTCATCAATCCAAATTGCGTGGATCGATGCTCATGATATCAATCACTGGATTGTCTGGTCCAGACTCGATTCGTTACAGACCGCCGTCATATAGCTGGAATATTGCTGAGTGCGGCGTTAAACAACAAACCAACCAACCAACTTAATGAATCCTTGAAAGAATAAGTAATTCTGGGTCAGAATCAGTTTTCATACTCAAGTTGTTATTTTGACTTCAATCTCACTTCAATTTTATAATCACAGATAACTGTTTACTACATTCACAACAGTTTTATTTCCGCTGGGCTCAATCATAAGACAATAACGAGATGCATTATTATTTTTTTAAGATAGTATCGGTACTTCAGCAATTCTAAAACCAAAACCCTTTCCACAATCATAAGTAATCTCGTACATGTAACTCAGAGTCAGTTGATTCTAGCAATAATCTGTACACTGAACATCTGGATAACTAACATGTGTCTGCGCAAAGCTGAGCATATCTTCAAATCCTTGCACCTTTTATCACTACATGATTCAATACTTTTGATTTTATGCACCGCAGTAATGTATAAGCTCATATGTCACCATCAACAACATGTTAAACTTTTAAAGCGACCAAACGACACGCCCTCATGAGTATTGGTTAATGGAGTCACAACTGTGTACTTGTCTTCATTGCAACATACATATTTCAAGATTTGACTCGTTTGTTGGTGGGGAAAGGATTGCCGCGTGGCGTAGTGCATGGTATCACAGTGCATGATTTATACGTGTTTTTTTTTTCTAGATTTGGAGAACTGTTTTATTAACAATGGGTCGTGGATTTCAGTTAGTGTTAAGACAAGCATTCTATTACTCATGCTTCAGATAAAGTCCTATACTGTACAGGTGATTACGGGGAATATGGGCAGCCATATTATGGACAACTAAGCAGAATATTTGTTTCTTTCAAAACTTACTAAAATATGTTATGACTTTATACATAACATTACAGCTTTGCAGAAGATATCTCTGTCTGAAACCAATTCAGACCAGTGTAAACGAATTCATTTTATATCATAATGTTTCTACATTATTTACATGACACTTATCTTCATTCTTATGATCTGAACATATATTACTGAAATGTGGAGTCAAATTTGTGATTGGGAATATGAAATATATTTCAATGATCCTAGTTTGCATTTGATACATTTCATTTCAGCTCTAATAGCAGAGGTTTCACTCATCTCGTAAACTGATCAGTAATGTTTAAAAAACGTTTTAGGCATTCATGTAATCTTTTTTAAATGGTGAAGTTCCCTTGATGATTATTTAATCATTTTTGATAATTGTATGAAACAATTGATTATGTATGTCAGAAAACAGAAAGAAAACTTTTCCGCTTTTTTTTTCAACCAAAAGTAGTTAGTAGGTCACCAACGCTTTATTCAAGTCTTTCTGATCAGCGGTAGGAAACGAAAAGATCTAACAGACGCCCATAAAATAAAAGATCACCGCGTGTGGTAAAGTTAAAAGTAGACACAAATCACAGGTGTATGGGGGCATGCTTCAAACTTGTGTCACTGGCAACAGACTACAGCTTAGCAACACACGCTATAAAGCTCCATGTCCCCCATGTGTGGCGGCGTCTGGCCAGACAACAACCAGGTGTGTACAGGATGTGGACGATGGCGGTGTTTCCTCTGCTTTTGTGTGAGTTAATTTTTTCATGTTATTTACACCTAATTGTGATATCGATATGTTGTGATAACTAATGTTTGAAAACTCTCCTTTGTCACACCTTTCCTTTGTAGCTGCTGTGTTCTGAAATAACAATGCATATTCGTACATAAACTGATATGTGTATTAATGTTTCCGATATTGCATTGGTAACTTTAAGAACACGCATACAATGTATGTCAATATATTGTCTCATTGCAGCTCATGTTATTCAATATTTTGAGCCAGATGAAATGAGAAAAATTATAGCAATTTGTGACAAAGTTAAAATCTTACATAATAGGTGTCCTCACACCAGCTTATATCAACGCTGACGCTGCAGCGTGTACTGAATGTACCAATGCATACAGTGGTGAAACGACAGATACAGACTGCACGTAAGTGTGATAATTTTCTGCACAACATGGTTATTTCTATTTGCCTGCTTTGATTTAGCAATGTGAAGAATGTCTTGTGTGCACAAGGGAATGTTTTTTTCACAGTTATCCTATTGTGAGAAAGTAGAAAAGAATATTTCCATAGATGTCTACAAAAAGTAAACGAGTCTACAGTACTATTCTCATTAAATCAATAGCATGTGAATATTAATCATTATCAAACACTGGAACATTTGGGTATAGGTCAAAAAAGGGAACTGCATCTGACATCATTGTATTCAATAATGCTTTTGAAAGCCTTACAAAGGGCTAGAGTGTTGTCAGCTTGACAAATCAACTTTCAATCAAGAGTCGCCTGAGCCTCTTTGAAATTTTTGCACCTAAAAAATTGTGACAGGTTGACGCCAAAGTATAGAACTGCTGGAATATTGCTCAAACAAAGAGGGACACTTGACTCTTTGGTTGGAGCAGAACTTCCGATTCATGTGCACGGAGAAACAGATCACCATGGAGACTGAGCACAATTTGAAATTATTGTTAATCAATCTGATCCTTGACAAGCAACATATTTCGTGTCGTCTTTGATGAAATCAGTTTCATACACATTTAATAAAACCGACAATGACGACATTTTTCTGCCACATGGGCTTTACTCAGCTTTAGATTCTTGTTAGCTTGTGGTTGAGAATAACACACATTCAAAAAGAAATATAACAAGGGTGCTTACATGTATTATCTCGTTGCTGAAGTTATCAGCTAATACGATTTGCAGTTAGTAAAATAAATTCATATCTGTAATGTTAGGATGAGATTCAACATGACTTTTAATATAAGTATCTTTGCAGACACCTGAAAACGTACCTGAATTGTCTTGAGGCAGCTGCGGGATCATCAGCTGGGTGCACACTGACAGTAGCCGAGGCCACGAAAATCAAAGAGGCTACCTGCAGTAAGCAATTACCTACTAAATGGTCAATAATGGATTTTTATCTTGCCATTTTCAAAAACAACTCTTTTTGTGAGAAATGCGTTTGTGGTAAATATAAGGGCTTCCTAAATTTACGATGTTATACAAGTTCCTTATTCCAATTTATCTGAAATGAGCACGAGAAAACTGATGCAATGGTTCTCCTTGGTTTCAGCTGCAGCTTTGGTCTCACCTTGCTCATGCCAAAGAACCTTCTGGGGAAGTGATCTAGCTGGGAACAGAGCGTGCGAGTAAATACCTCATTATAATACAAACTGTACTGTTAACCTGCATTAAACGAATCAATTTCGGATTATCTTTATTGTACATTATCCGTTTTTATAGGGTAGCATATGATGTCATCTGCTATTTAAAGAATTCAATGCTATTTACATCATGCATGTAGAAAACAGGCAACGTGTTATTCTGTCCACTGCTATAAAATTGTTTTTGAAGGCCCCTGAAGACCTACATCGAATGTCTCACCGACGCAGGTGAAGCAGACACGTGTGTGGCTGGAGTCAAAGCATCTACACTTGTCTTGTTGCCTTCGGCGAGACTGGAAACTCTTACATGTAGTAAGTATTATGTAGAAGTCTAGTGGTTCGCTCATCACATTTCTGGTGTCCCCCCACCCACTGTAAGTTTGTTGTTTTCAATCACATTTGAGTTTTATTTGCATAAACGAAACTTCGCTGTTATGCACACTATGACGTTCAGCGTATACAACGTTCAGTTTAATAGTTACCATAAATGGATTTTATCAAATAAACATAGTTATACTCGAATTTTGTTTTATAAGAATCAATTTGGAAATATATAAACTTGGTTTTGTGATGAATTTATTAAATGGCAAGTGCCTTGACCGAGGCTCGTGTTATTGTTTTACCCCAGGATTGTTGGTGGACGATGTTTATTGTACTCCTTGTAGTGAAGATAAATAATGCGTGTTTCTGCGTGTGCTATCACATCTGTCAGAACGACTGTCATGTAATTAATATATATAATGTATTCTCTCTGTTGTGTAGATTCTGGAGTTTCTAACCTGAGGATGTGCAGTACGATCCTTGCTTTCCTTCCCTTCATCCTGATGGCGTTTCTTCGTTGATAGACCAGTCAACTGCTAAACATGCTCTGTAGCTGTGTGTCACTTTATTATTACTTTTAACCCTTCTATAATGATTGTCTCCTCGCTGTAAAGCTGAAATAATGCGGATATGACGTTAAATCTTAACTCACTCTGATGATTGCAGTTCTTCTCTTTGTAGGTGCATTCAGTACAATATAAGTAACATATCATCTTTGTCAATCATTGGACATTTGTACATTTGCTACATGTATTAAGTCAAATGATTTTGTCAGTGATTTCGTGTAATTTAACAAAGATACGGTATACTGGCTAAAGGGACACAAAACAATTACTGTTCGCGTACGTACAATTAGACAATACTGATGACACTTTCTGATGACGTGGCTCTCCAAACACCGATGAATAGAAACTGCCATCAACCCTTTAGTCACTTTGATAGTATAAGCAACTGTTAATTTATCTTACATTTACCAGGCTCAGATGACGACGCATATCTCAAGTACTTACATGCATACAAGATTTTCGAATGTCATACTTAATAAACGCATTGTAGTAATTATTGAGAATGTTGTTTTTTAAAGTGTTGGCAATCGGATAATAATAGTTAGAATGTAAATATCAAATGCAGAATATGCAATGGATTTAATGAAACTGTCGAACACCTTGTCAGCGGATGCCCAGTTTGGCACAAACACAGTATTAAAGCGACATGATGGAGTTTTATTATGGTGTTCGCCATGCTTGTGGTTTTGACACAGAGGTCGATCCATGGTACGACCCAGAATGTGTAGAGGGCATCATGGAAAACGATGATTATAAAATTCTTTGGAAAAGGCCCGAATATAGCCTCATACCTATCCAGACCAACAAAACTGATCTAGTCCTTTTTAATAGACCCAATGATATCATCATTACCATTGACTTCTATGTCCCTTTTGACAAGAAGGTGACAAGATTCATGAAAACCATGGCAAACATGCAGACCTGTCATACTTGCATCCCAAGTACCAAGTTCTCCGACTCCCTAATGGTGCCTTAGTTTTGGTACCTCCCAATCTGTTGACTGACATATCGAGAGTACCTGGGTTTGCTGCCAGGAACAATCCCTTCCGGCACTCAGGGTAATGCAGAAGGCTGCAGTGTTGGGGAGTCTTCACATTCTCTGAAAAGTCCTCGGTGGGTTCGACAAGGCAGCACTTCTTGGCCTGGGCTGCATGTAGAGGGGATAAGGGCCCTGAGCTGATGATGGGCCTAACCAGCCTGACTGTGCGAGGATCACCCGAACTCTCTTTGCTGCATTTATTTCTTCTTTAATCTGTCAAATATGAGAATAATCATTGTCTCTGAATCTGGATGTGGTAGAGTGAGTGGATGATTATTTCTAAATATCGCAGTCAGATGCATTCCAGATATATCAACATATAAGTTAAATGAGTCTTGCGGCGAGCATAAGAAATGATCCACGACTTTGTGCACAATGTCACAGCCGGGTCACAGAGCTTGACCATACGTTTCACATTACTCGGCTCTTCAAAGTTGTATACACTTGAATTTCGAAAGGGGCATATGCTTGAATAAATGAGGCTTCAAAAGTTTAGAACAATTATTTGGAATTGTTATCTGAAGTTTACTCAGAAAAAAATATGTGAAATGGCTCAATGACTTTATCATTGATAACGTCAGTTGGAAGCTACTTATCTCAAATTATATTTGATGGTATCGTCCTTTATTTACACATAGTAACTGAAAAGGGCATTTTCTTTTTTTATTTCCGAGACGCCATTAGAGTATTAATTATTCCCCTATTGTATGTAAACTTTAGTTATGGAATAACTAGGATTTTCACTTATTACCAAAAGTACTATCCTACACGCGTAAATATGTTGGGATATAAAAATAGTAAAGTCTTCGATGAAATTGCTGGGCAAGACGATGGTTAAGATAGAGTTTGTATAATATAATGTTGTTAAGAACTTCACAGTCCGCCCGTTTTTACCGTTTTTTGGATCAGTAGTGCGTAATAACCGCCAGAAGTTTCAAATGTTCATTGACTCGACGAGGCATACTGTATATGAGTCTCCCAATGGCGATTTGAGGAAGTCTGTCCTCCTCTTGTAGCGCCTGGTCAAGTCCAGCCAACGTGGTCGACGTATCGTGTCCCAGACGAGTTCAGTGGAGTTGGGTCTGGGCCCATTGCTGGTCATGACATTCTATGGATGTTGTGCTGCTGGAGGTGAGCATTGACGATTCGTGTACGATGAGCACGGACGTTGTTGTCCTGAAAGACAAAACCTCGACCAACAGGCCTTGCAAACGGGACCCCGAAAGTTCTCGCCAGTATCCTTTCCTTGCACATTATAGAATTGGGTTCGGTAAGTCACAGTGCTGCCTCCTCAGACCAAATCTGTCATGATGTCTCAGGTTGTTATTGGCTTGACGTTCATTACGACATCGCCAGATATGGCCAATCCCATGAAGGAAGTGCAAAGTGAACCGGGACTCATCTGTAAACATGACCCGTTACAAGCAACGATTACCCCCCGTTTTGACGTCGTGTACATCATTAACGTCTTTTGGCAATATGACGATTTTTTTAGCTGCGGCACAACACATGACCGTTGAGCAATGGAGATGAGCTACATGTACATTTCTAATCGTTTGAGCGGTAACTCGTACTTCAGTAGCCTGGTAAAAGTAATTTGATTTCCCGGTTTGAGGTGGATTTCATAGATCCTGGTTTGGGATCAATTGATCCTGTAATTTTGTCGTTGACATGGGACGCGCTGTACGGGCTCGGTCATCAACATTTAGGGTTTGTTGGTACCTGTTCACAGACTGTGAAACATGGAACATATTGGCCACTGCACGCTTCCAGCATGTCAAAAGCCCATATATGTTTCTCGCGTTGCAGACGCCTCATCGCTAGTTCATACCAAAGCAATCAAGTAAATATCACCTATTTGGGTGGGTGAGGATGAGGATGGTTTTACACCGCTATTAGCAATATTCCAGCAATATCACAGCGGGGGACACCAGACACATTGTACCCATGTCAGGAATCGAACTCGTGTCTTCGGCGTGACGAGCAATCGTTTCAACCACCAGGCTACCTGACCGCCCTCTTACCTCTATGATAAGCAGAGTTATTAAACTTGACACAAATAATGGTCCACATTTGTTAATCGACCTTCCTTGAAAGTGTCTCTTGGACAGTTGAAGTCATCCCTTGTTTATGACAACAGTCTTGTACAGTGTTTTTGTCCCTCTGAAACGTTACGCCTGTGTAGACTGTAGTATGGCTCTGAGGTTATTCAGTTTTCGTGTTTGTTTTTTTGCGTACCACCGCAGTCGGCAATTTTCCTGCTATATGGCGGTGGTCTGTAAATAATCAAATCTTGACCAGATAATCCAATGATTGACTTTTATCACCATCAATCAATGCAATTGTGACATGATGACATGCATCAGAGCTCCTAACCTACAGATCTCGTGTGCCGCCTTTTAAGACAAGCATGAGTTTCTTAAGACCAAAACACCTACTACTATTGATAATAATATACATAGAAATATAAATACCTCCAAGAGATCGACTCGTGAAGATCCGGGGTATAATATGTCTATAGCAACCCATGCTTGCCGTAAAAGGCGACTATAGGGATCGGGTGGTCAGGCTCGCTGATTTGGTTGATGCATGTCGTCGATCCCAATTGCGTGGATCGATACTCATTATATCAATCACTGGGTTGTCTGGTCCAGACTCGATTATTTACAGACCCCCGTCCTGGAATATTGCTGAGTGCGGCGTTAAACACAAACAAACAAACATATGTTTAATAATTATGTAGGAGTTTTTACATAGGACCCCGTCCACAATCAAGAAGAAAACATTTTTACTCCATTAACACTTACCTTTAATATATGTATTTAACTACCTAAGACTTGATAAGAATGATGGTACAATCTGATGTCTCATCCCTGAACATACTTCATATTATTGGTATTAGGCTTAGCTAAGGACTATTTATGTTATTGTTCTCAATCTTCAAATTATCTCTTTACCTTCTATAACTTTGACTTCAACGTTCACCCAAAGTGCGACGTCATATTACAGTTTCACCTTTACGTAAGTACGCGTGTTGCTCAGACAGCACCAAGGACCCCGCACTTATCTGGTGGCACCCCCAACAACAATGAAGTGTTGTGTAATCCATTCGCGTCGTTTTCCCCTCAGTGTGATTACTTCAGTTTGGGTGGTTGAGTTCAGAATTTACTGCGCCGTATCTGTGCACTTGTGAGCAGTGCAAACTGTAAAGAGGACAAACAAACGTCCTGTTAGTGAAGGGCAATCTATCGCAGTGTGCCACATCTCAACAGTTGTGACGCACCGCCAGACAAAACACAGGGGTAAAGATAGGGGTTGACCATATTCTTCTTAGATACGGTGAAGGTGTTTTAAATTTATGATGTGTCTCTGCAAGGTGGACAAACAATATGTGTAAAACTCTTGACAGAAAAACGACATGCATGTATCGAGCCTTTGAGCAAGACATGTCTGTACATGGTTGTGTGATACCCGGAGTTGTTGAAGGAGATGTAACCCAGACTGTAAGTAATATGTGCTATTAGTTCAACTATTCTTTTAGTTCACTGCATTAGTGTATACACTAGTCTAGGGTAACATAATTACCTTTTCAGAGTTTAAATATATCACTGATAGATTCGTAACATTTCATGTTGGGTCATGGATTAAGTATTAAGTATTAATATTAAGTAATACGTTCTAGTCAGGATGATTACTCACACTTTGTGGATTGTATTACACAGTGTTTACATGTTCTCTATCATAAGCGTGCCCAACTTTCAGAAACTTAACAATTTAAGTTAAATGTCTAAATCAATTTGCGATTAACATTGTCAAATTATTTGCAATATGTCTTCACACTATACTATAGCTAAACCATATTCATGTACTTAAAAATACTTCAATGTCAATCATGTTGTACTAATAAATATGTTATATTCATCAATATCTATCTATTGCCAATCAAACTTGTTTTATCTGTTTCTGCGGATAATCTAGACCAGTTATTCTCTTATATTTACATAGTCTAGAGCCCCAGCCGTGTGGTACATCCCATTATCACACACTTACATTGACAGCTTCACATATTACCAAAACAAACTGACCAAATCACATAGACCATGTCACGTGAGGTTGTCCGATCCCTGACAACAAGCATGAGGGACTGTCGTGAATCGTCGTATTCTAAAACATGTATATGGTACGACACGAAGCCAAGCAACCAAGAATTATAGACTCAATGTCAAATTGTCAAAGATGTTGCAGTATATTTCAAACAAAAACACAATTCATATCCATTTTACATGTCACATTTATATTGCTTACGCAGAATGGATTTAGTATCGAAATTATGACGTCACTGCATTGCACTCAGTCATAGTACTGCATAATCTCATCAATGGAATGTCGTTGCATGTTAGAAGTTGTGGGAAATGATTAAACGCGAACCTGTTTATCGAAATTAGGAATAAAACAGAACATATACATAGAGTTTGATGTTCACATAGACAAACGTCAGCTTTATGTGTGATTAAAGTGTGTGTTTTTTTTAAAAAAAGGTAAATACTATTAATTTCACATTTATGCAACACCATTTACACAGTGAATGGTTTAAGTGTTTATTTGGTGCTGTTGCTAACATTTACATTATGCGCGATACAATGCACACTAAACCAATTCCTTTTTCATTTCGACAGTTAGATTAAATAATAGAGATGTCAGTATTACATATCTTAGGAAATGTCATATACTTTTCCATACAGACGATTGGATATTTTTAGGAACAAAAAAACTCATTATATAAATCAATAATTTGTAAAGTGTTGTCATATAGATACATTTCTATGCATCCTAAGTATTTTTAGTAGTTCAGTTGTTAGTTTGACTACAATCCTGCCTTAATTAAAGAACTACTACTAACTGTTCAGCTATATTCACGGTAGTAGTTTTGGTTTGGGAAATCAAAAGACTATCGGTACTCAATCAATACTTTAACTATGACCAAACCCTGCAGCAAATCTGGAGTTTATGCTTGTCTTTTTGACGAGTGTTGATACTTTTGCATTAGGTTACTTGTACGAATTTGATCTCGAAGTATTATCTCATCGGAGGACAACTCTCTTTGTTCTAACCCTATAAATCCTAAGACTAGTGCATTGTTGGACATTCAGCCTTGGGGTTAACCATGAACAGATTATTTTAAGATCACCTCCTCAAACGCTGCAAGGATGAATGGGGGATATCGTGATTTGGCTGCACGTTGTATTGTGGCATGAACTATGTACTTGTTAAAATAACGTTCAATGATGACTGCCAAGTTTTGAATACCACGTGAAAAGTTAATATTTGGATAAAGATTTCTTACTTCAAACATCATGTTATATGATCTAGATTGAAAATAAATATTGCAACCAAATGTAATCTTTATGTACGTTTAAAATATGTTTTGCAAGCTTACAAACCATCATATCGTACAGATCTGCATAGAGCTGTGAACATCGCCAGGAGTTGCGTCATCAAAATCATTGAATAAACTTAGTTAGTTAGAACTTAGAATTCTCGATTAATCTGAAACAATACATTTTTTTACCTGCAGTCCAAATAGTTAATTAAATCTTCTTCGATCTACTTACTAAATGATCCCTGAAATCCTAAATTTATGACAATAACGATATAATGTCTTGAACAGCATTTCACTGACAAGGGTTTCACAACGTGTCCGTTAACTGTTTGAGGCAGGACCAAAGCATTTCAGATCGGAGACATTTCGTCATTGTGTTAAACCCATGACTACTTGTGTTTTGCTGACAGATAAAAGATTATAAGTGAGTTGCATCACCCACTAAACTCAACATCAGCACATCCTGGCTGTTAAGGGATGCAACACTGCACAACGTGTGGCGGATTCGGCAACTAGAATGTAGACTCCCTGCACTTTTAATACACTAGGTCAAGTTGTTACTATAAATGTGTTTGTAAAACCGAGTAACAGCTAAAAATACCAGTACAGGTTCTGACCAATGCGTAAATGAAGCAGCATTACAGTTGACGCCACGTTAACTCCATATGGCAGATACGACTATTGAACTCGTACAAGCAGATTGGATGACAAATTGTAATTGTAAACGCACCCATAACGAACAATCAGTGGCATTAATCACAGGACATAGCAACGTGGACGTATTGGACTCTATCTTGTCAATTGAGGCCCGCATGTTATCCCCTTTACTTGCATTGCAAATTAACAGATGTATGTGTCAGGAATTTTGTGAATATATTAACCATGAATTGTGTCCAGGTTACCCACGAGACATCAACAGGTACATGTATACATTTTGTATGGAAATAGCGAGACTATATTGATATTTATTCCAAAGAATTGTGGCCGCTGTGTTGAGTTGTAATTGTAAACGCACCCATAACGAACTATCAGTAGCATTAATCACAGAAATACTCTCAAGAAATATTTCAAACTTTCCATGTAAACACAAGAAATTATTTATATTGAAAAATATGATAAGGCAATATTTGAGCATGTGGTGATTGCACATGTATAATGTCATGCATAAAATATGCATTGGTATGAGAATTTTGGCTCGGACACGAAGTCTAGAAGCTTTTTGAGACTGTCAACATTGTTTCAACAAAATCAAAACAGCAAAAGTTACAAGTTAAGCTGGTGATCAATGCATATGCCAAGTTTAGATGGTTTTCATGTTATTGCTCGGGATAGGATGGGTATAACGACTTCGAAAAGATGCTTGTATTGTTTCTTTAATCATTATAAACCCGTAGTACAAAAGGGTAAAAAACCTGTACATGTCAGCACTTGAGTAATGGTGATAAGACCTTTGAGTAGGTGTAGAAACCACTGATTTGAAACACGTGCTTTTTCCGGAAGTTTGAAAAAAAAGGTAAGAAAAGATAACTCTTATTGACTTAGATAGAAAGTGAAGCGTCCGTAAAATATTGCCTCGTAAGGGGCAAGACACTCCCCTTCTGATTTCGCATAGAAATCACACATAATTGAAATGTCGCTGTAATGTCACATATCTCGCAGACACAAGTGGAATTAAAACAAGCGAACAAGGTTCACAACTGGACGGTTGTAAGTCACACACTTATCGTTCTTGTACACACGAATCGCGGCTTTGCGGACAAGGTTATCTTGTCCAGGAAACACTGTTTCCACAACACCAAGAGGCCACTCATTCCTTGCACAATTGTCTTTCACAAGAACAACATCTCCTTCTTGCAGGTTAGGCTGGGAAATCTTCCATTTCGACCTGGTTTGAAGACTCTGCAAGTAGTCAAGTCTCCATCTTCGCCAAAACTCTTCTGCAAGTGTCTGGACATACATCCACTGAGACTTGCATATATTTTTGACATCTAGAGACAGATCAAAATTTGGGGTGTGTGCCGTTTTTTGAGTCAATAACATTGCAGGTGATAAGATCATCGGTTGTTCAGGGTCAGTCGTGATGGATGTGATAGGTCGAGCATTGATGATTGCCGTCACTTCAGCCATAAGGGTCGAGAGTACTTCATGGGTTAACCGTTTTGTGTTCAGGAGCATAGCATCAAGTATTCTCCGAGAAGTCCCAATCATTCGCTCCCATACACCTCCCATGTGAGATGAGTGAGGGGTGTTGAACAACCAAACCACACCATTGTTGTACAGGAAGTCTTGCACAGGCCCATCTTCTACATTAACAGCAGTGACATTAAGGGATTCAATAGCACCAATGAAATTTGTTCCCCTATCAGAACGGAATTGCTTGACTTCCCCTCTTAAGGCAATAAACCTTCTGAGACAGTTTATGAATGAGGAGCTTGTCATTTCTTCAACGAGTTCAATGTGTACTGCACGTATCATTAGGCAGGTAAACAATATCGCCCATCGTTTGCTGTTTGCACTACCACCTCTTGTACGACGAGTCACAATTTCCCATGGTCCGAAAGCGTCAACACCAACATAAGTGAATGGTGGGCATGGCACCAAGCGGTCTGGAGGCAAATCTGACATCATTTGAGTTTCTGGTTTTCGTCTGAGCCGATTGCACGTGACACACTTGCTGATTAGAGATGACACCAGTCTTTTTGCCCCAATAATCCAGTAACCTGCCGATTTCAGAGCACCTTCCGTCAGATGTCTTCCTTGATGTCTTACCCTGTCATGGTAGTGGTGTACAAGAAGTTTTGCAACATGGTTTCTCTTGGGAATGATAATGGGATGAATCTCACACGCTGTCAGTTTGCTGTTCTTCAGTCTTCCTCCTACCCTAAGAACGCCTTGTTCATCTAAAGCAGGTGAGAGGGACAAGATCGAGCTTTTCCTTGGAAGTGGCTTCTGGTTTTGCAGACACATGATCTCCTCAGAGTAAGCTTCCCTTTGGACTGCTTTGACAATGAAGACCTCTGCATCCTTAAATCCTTCTACATTTCTGAAGTCTTTACACTGGTGCCAACCAACACATGAACTGTTAGTTTTGGTGAAGGATCTTGCAATGTGTTTCAGATGTGAGATTGTCTTTACAAGTTTTTTCCAACTAGAAAATCTCGTAAAGCGATCAGTGGCAAGTTGTTGCGGCGCAGCTATAGAGACTGAGGTTTTAGTCGACTTGAGTTCAGCTCTAACCTCTTTATCATTGTCTGGGTCGACAAGCGAGAAAAGTTGTGAGTCACACATATCAGATGTATCACTTTGGCTCAGGACATCAGGTCCTCTTAACCAAAGGCTATCACTGTAGCACAATGATGTCACAGACCTCGTTGCTTGATCAGCTGGATTTATGTTTGATGGCACATAGTTCCACTGTTTTGGTTGTGAAGATTGGCGAATTCTGTCAATCCTGTTTGCGACATACACATGGAATCTTCGTTTCTCATTGCATATATAACCCAATACGACGCGGCTGTCTGTGAAAAAATGCAGGCATTCTGCCTGAATGTCAAGCTGCTGGAGTAGGACATCTGCCATCTCTGCAGATAGAACAGCAGCACACAACTCTAACCGAGGTATGGTATGTCCATGACGTGGGGCTACTTTGGACTTGCCCAGCAAGAAACTCAGTGTACTGGTGCCATTGACGTCGTACATCTTGAGGTAAGCAACAGCACCTATTGCTTCCTTCGAAGCATCAGAGAATATATGAATCTCTTTGGTAAGGGAATCAGACATTCAGATTTTTGAATAAGGTCTTGGGATGACAACATTTTCAAGATTCTTGAGGGAGTCACACCAGTTCTGCCACTGAGATAAGTAAGAAGAGGGAAGGGGGTCATCCCAACCAGAGGTTGTTGACATTAGTTCCCTAAGCAACAGTTTCTCTTTGATGACAACTGGTGCTGCAAAGCCCACAGGGTCGTAGAGGCTGTTTATGGTAGACAATACCCCGCGCCTGGTGAAGGGCTTCCTCTCGGCACAGACTTGGAAGGTGAAAGTGTCTTTGTTAATATCCCAGGATAGGCCAAGGCTTCTTTGAGGTGGAGGAGTGGTTGTGTTGAAGTCCAAGTCCTTGATGTCCTTGGCGAGGTCCTCTGCATCAAACGCAGCTAGCACAGTTCGACTGTTGGAGGCTATCTTGTGTAGTCTTATGTTACCCCCATGTTGGAGCGCACTCTGGGTTCTCTGAATCAGATCGATGGCTTTTTCCTCTGTTGGGACGGACAGCAGTCCGTCATCAACATAAAAGTCATTCTCAACGAACCATTTCACATCAACGTCAGCATTTTCCACTGATCGTCTGAGACCATAGGTAGCGACTGCAGGAGAGGGTGAATTCCCAAACACATGAGCAGTCATTCTGTACTCAATCAAGTCTTGGCTTGGATCATTATTTCTGTACCAGAAGAATCTGAGGTAGTCACGATGAGATGGCTTCACCTTGAAGCAGTAAAACATTTGCTCCACATCTGCCGTCACTGCAAAGGATTCTGTTCGGAACCTGAGAAGGATTCCCAACAGATTGTTTGTGAGGTCAGGACCAGTCATTAGGACACTGTTCAGAGAGACGCCATTGTACTTCGCAGATGAATCAAATACACCCCTGATTTGTCCTGGTTTCTTGGCATTGTAAACACCAAACAAGGGCAAGTACCAACACTCTTGATCCTTTTCCAATGGAGGGGCTATTTCTGCATGTCCCTTGTCTATGACTTTCACCATGAATGTTGTCATATGTTCTCGCTTTGTTTGATCTTTGCACATGCTGGAGTCCAATAGTTTTGCTCGATGAATGGCATGGAATTTGTTGCATGGCAGCCTGGCACGATCTTGTCGAAATGGTAGTGGAGCAGTCCAACAGCCATCACTATCCTTTGAGAATTCAGCATCCATAATCCTCAGGAATTGCTTGTCTTCAATAGACAAAGTCTGCGTTTCGTCAAGTCTTGTTTTCTGAAAGACACTCTCCTCAAAGTCATTTCTCTCGTTCACTTCAAAATTATTAGGACAGGGCTCCATGATTGTTGTTCGACCATCCCTGAGCATGTGAGTCTTGTTAACTATTACCACATCCGGTTTGTGTACCTGCCCGAGACAGACTTCCCCAATTATTGCCCAGCCAAGGTGCAACTTCTGGGCATACGGTGCATCAGGCAGTCCAATGCGGTGATCAAGTACATGATGAGCTGCTAGCAGGTCACGTCCTATGAGCAACAGAATGTCTGCACCTGAATCAATAGGTGGGATGTACTCAGCAATGTCCCTTAAGTGAGGATGATGAATAGCTGTTTCTGGAGTAGGGATCTCCTCTCGCACATTTGGAATCTCATTACACTCTATCAAGGTAGGTAAATGTAATGACGAGGACCCGTCTAAGGCTTGAATGACATATCCTGATGCTCGTCGGCCAGACATTGTCACACAACCAGCACAAGATGAGAGTGTGTATTCAACTTCATCTCCATCTTCATGAAAATTATCAAAGAACTCACTTTTTGCAAGTGACTGGTTGCTCTGATCATGGATAACAGCTTATGAGAATAAGTACTGTTCTGGACATCCTTTTGGAAATACCTTGACTAGCAGAGTCTTGGCACATGACTTGCCGCCAACCAAATTATCACATATCTGTGTGCAAGCTGACATCGTTATTGGCTTCTCTTCATGATGTGACGCCGACAGAGCGGTAACGTTTCTCTCCCCTTCATGCTTCCTCAGCGAAGTCCTGCTGTCTGCAACTTTAGCGGAGGTTTCTCCCTCATTGTAACTGTGCATGGCGGTAGCATGATGAACACTCCCACAAAAGAAACACTGAATGCTACACTTGCATTCACGCGCAGTGTGCTGAGTTGATTCACAACACTTGAAGCATATTCTATGCTTACCAAGAAAGTCCTTTCTCTCACTCAGAGACAGACGTCGGAACCCCTTACAATAATTAAGAGTATGTCCCTCCGATTTATCGTGGTAGGGACAGAGTCTAACTCGTTCCGTAACATTGTCTTTCTCCCCGATGTCAGTTTTCTTTGACAACAGTTTGAAGTTTGGGTTGATATTCAAGGGATGAAATTTCTTTGTGGAATTTGGCGCTGACTGTGAGTCATAAAGAAAGCTTGGATCATTTCGTATTCTAGCCTGTCTGCTTATGAATTCTGAGAACACAGAAAAGGGAGGATAAGCAACATGATACCGTTCCTTGTAGTTGACTGCTTCATTTGTCCATTTCTCTTGAAGAGCGTAGGGAAGCCTGTTCACAATTGGAGTCACGCCCGCTGAAGAGTCATAGTACGCCAGAAGGGCTGAGTACCTCTGATTGTCCTTCACAGACTCAATTTCGGACACAATGTCTGCCAGGTCATAGAGTTTATCATGATCTTTGTTGGAGAGTTTAGGGAAATTAGACAATTTTTTCTTGAGTGCAGACTCCACAAGCTCGGGACTGGCATATCTGTCTCCCAGTCGTTCCCAGATCTTCTGAAGGCCACGAAGTGAATTATGAGCATTAGCAGCACGGATACTAGCGGCTTGTCTGCTGGACTCTGGGCCAAGCCACCTGACAAGCAAGTCGATTTCCTCCTGTGGCGACACATTTAGTTCGTACATAATTTGTGTAAAGCTATTCTGCCACACAGCAAAATACTCCGGCTTATCGTTGAATTTACTCAGCCGCGAGAGACGGAGGTCTTTCCTCATCAAATATTTGGAGAGTTCTGAACACAAACCCAGTTGGTTTGTCGCATGTCCCAATGCAGGAGAGGCTGTCATGTCTGGGACATAAGGTTCAGCTGCAGGGTTGAGCATACTATTTGGTGGAACAGTACCACGTTGAATTGTCGAGGCCTCTGGTGCATGTACTTGCCTTGGTTGAGTATGGGAGTCGTCACCATGGTTATGGAAGGACTTGAGGTCATGAACTGTGTTGCGATTACTCTGCCCGGCTTTGTGAGGTGTACTCGTACTTACGGGTATGTCTTGGTTCTTGGACACAGTTTCAACCTGGTCAAGTATCCTAGTTTCAAACTCATAAAAGGTTTGTTGGTTTTCCACAAATTTCTGAATTTCTTCGAGCTTCGCCAATGTCTGGGAAGAACGGTCGTCTCGCCTTGATTTCTTGTCAACCTCCAAGACTCCCTGCATAGCTTGTAATTCTGCCTCGGCTTCATGTACTTCACGCTGTGAAGTAAGAAGTTTCAGGTTCACTTCCAGTTCAGCTCGCTGTTTCTCCATCTTTGCTTCCTGTTCAGCGAATTTCAGTCGAATCTTGGCCGCTTCAGCCTTTGCTTTTTGTCTCATGAGAATAGAACTTCCACTTGAATGAAGGCTTTTGCTTCGCACAGAAGCTGATTCTATCCTGTCAGTGTTTGTCAAACTAGTAATTCTAGCATTAATGTCCCTCAGTGCCACCTGCACCTTATTCAAGAGTGAATCCGCAATGTTTTGATGTGCAGCCTGTACTTGTGAACTTTCTTCAGTGCCAGTTCGTTGTAAATATGCAAAGAATTCCAAATATGTTTCCTCATACTTCCCGTATTGACTGTCAATATTTGCACGCACACTGGTTAATTGTCCCATATCATCATGTGTCGAGTGTGAACAGGCACTCTCTGTTTGCCTTGCTAGTTTGGAAAGTTTGTTGACATAATTTTGCACGTTTTCTTGATATAGTTCGTAACCTAGCTCCGTTAAACGTCTAGATCCTTTACGTGATGCCATAGTGTAATACTCACGCACAATTCTTGGAAGAATAATGTATCAATGGATCGTATGTCTCGTGGTCATCGGAGCGCTATGCCTCATATACGAGAGTGGCGATGAAGGTTTTTTACTATAACGACTTCGAAAAGATGCTTGTATCGTTTCTTTAATCATTATAAACCCGTAGTACAAAAGGGTAAAAAACCTGTACATGTCAGCACTTGAGTAATGGTGATAAGACCTTTGAGTAGGTGTAGAAACCACTGATTTGAAACACGTGCTTTTTCCGGAAGTTTGAAAAAAAAGGTAAGAAAAGATAACTCTTATTGACCTAGATAGAAAGTGAAGCGTCCGTAAAATATTGCCTCGTAAGGGGCAAGACAATGGGAACGACAACGGCATAGGGTAACAAGCCCAAAACAATATATCTTAACAACCTTGCGATGATACATATTCAAATAAATGCGACGAAAGCCTTTCCACATTCTACTGATTCATAATGATGAACATGGAGTAAGCATAGCTCGGCCAGTGGAGGTGAGGTGAAATGGGGTTTAACGTCGCGTCCAAGATTATTGCACTTATATAGCGACGTGCATGCACGTGTGTGTGTGAGTGTGTGTGTGTGTGTGTGGCTGCTTGTACTAGCCCGGACTGATGCCGATTTATAGTGCTAGCTCACAGAGATACCATGCCGCAGTTTAACATGAATACCCAACTCAGACACAGTATACTGACTCCGAGCCGACCAGTCCTTGTTTTAGCCCCTTAATGCCGAGCGCCAGACAGGGTATCGGCCAGTAGAACGGCATGTATTATATGCTGATGCTAGAAAATAAAAGCGACCAAATCCTGTACATATTCGTCAGAAATATCTGCGAAAAGCAGAGTCCATTCTATGTAGGTCATGTGTCCATGAATCACTATCAAATCGTGATGATACCAGGTGTTCCCGAAAAGGTGAGCGTATCCTGTTTGTTGTTTAAGGATGCTCTCAGCGAAATTCCAGCTACATGACAGCAGCCTGTAATGATCGAGTCTGGACCTGGCATTCCAGTGGTTGACACCATTAGCATCTATCTACGCAATTGGGGTTACACGCTTTTCTGAAAACCCAGTTCTGACCCAGATATTAACGGGTCTCTTAAAAGTGAGTGAGAGAGTGAGTGAGTGAGTTGGGTTTAACGCCGCTTTTAACCGTATTCCAGTTATATCACAGAGTGTCAGCGTAATGTGGGAGGAAAGCCCGATGTGATGCAGGTCCCAGACCTTTACCACTTTGGTGAAACCCACGGGCACTGGTATGTTGGTGACAAACTTGGGGTGAACCTGGACAATCACACAATCATATGCTTCTGGCGTGCAGCGAGAATCGCGGCGCCTTAGACGACTGGGCCACCCATGCCCCCTTTCTCAAAAGATACCACTGGAGTTGCATCGTCTGTCTTAAATATGAAACAGACTAGGCGGTAGGTAGGTAAATCAGTGGAAGGGCATTTGATATGATGGTTACTGAGCGTAAGTTAATCTTCTTGGCCAAATTACCATGTTTTGACTTTGCAAATCCGAGCAGAAACTCATGTGGATGAAGAAATTCTGATTTTTATTAATAAAGAAACAGATCAACAAGAAGGGGAGCACAATAGGTGCCCGTGGGGATGCCTACTGATGTCTTACCCAACATTTTACATAGATGTTATCAAAGAGGAAGTCCAACATTTCACATTTTACTTTTGCAGTAACACTTAGGTGGTATTTGCTTTCATTTTTGACAAATTGAAGTTAGATATAAAACTATATCTGAGGTCACAACCTTTAGTTACAAATGCTTCATGGACTAAGGAAGGAAGTTTTTCTGAGGTTGCAAAATATTCAATCAAATCCTTGTAGTTTTTCAGAATCCACATGTTATTCATTCCACTTGTGTCAAACACTTTGTTGAAAGTATAAATAAAGCTCTTCCTTTATTGTGTTAAGGAATGTTGTAAATCTTTCAGACCCAGCAATGTACCTCTCTTTGTACTGATTTAATGAGTTTTGGAATCCAGTACAACAGACGAATGGGTTTCAGTCAAAAGTCAAAAGTTGATTGTACTCATGCATGGGTTTTGGTTGATTTCTTCCTGTGTTGACTTTGGATGACAGTTGTTTCTTTGTTTTCATTTTGTGAATTCTGTCAATGTCTAATACCGTACAATGCGGACTCATCTTCAGCCTTAAAATGTCGGTTTTTAACCACACATCATGGTGGTTCCAATGACATGGACTTTGTGCCAGCATGATTTCCACCAGTATAACATCTACTCTGGGTTCATGCAATTTGTAAATGGTGCTGTCACTGTAAACAACTATTTTCGCAGCCATGGGCAGTGAAGAGTAATTGAAGTACTTCGGGGTTGAGAGATAGTCATTCAGAGATGTGTTTTACTGTCACTTGGGAGTTATTTCAAACCACCTTGTACATAAGTACAATATTTAATACGACTTTTTGAAAAATACATTAGTTACTCGTTTGTTGGCAATATTTCTATAACCTATCACCCCACTATGAAAGCTGTCATGTTGATTTCTAAGAAACTGCTTAGTTGTGTTCAAGAATTGGGCAGCTATCTAAAAAACTTCTGCCACTTGTTCGGGGCTGTTCAACCCCTGATACTATCTGTAACAATTGAAATCATAAATGTTGAAATTTGTCTTTGGAAACGAACCGTAGGTCATTG